ATGATGAAGTGTTACTGACGAACTGCTAAATCGTTTACAGTACGTTTTATAGTAGGTGTAACTACTATTCTGAAAGTGTGTTAAAAGACGTACATTTGTCCTGTTTCATATGTTTATCCTTTTTTTACAAACGACGTAACAATAAAAACGTTATGTAAATCTTATAAAGGCAAACGTTTGTATGTTTGTAAGTTTGTTACTCCTCCACGTCAAAACGGCTGAAGTGATCGAAATAAAATTTGGGATATAGGTAGACTATGGTTTGGAATAATACGTTGGTTTCTTTGTATCCCATCGGAACGTGGGTAAAGCCGCTGGCTGAGGCTAGTACTTAATAATGTCTACACCCTTTTATATACTCCAGTAACTGAATAAAAGCCATCAATTTTTGTAAAATGACTCAACGGAAACATCTCCTTGATATTTTTTAACCCTTTTCTAGGTCAGCGTGTAAATTAATCTAGGACTTCAAGGCCGAGATGTAATACTCAGGCTTAGATCTTAGGATACCTAGTTGCTAAGTTTAGGTCATTAAAATTTACGGTCGCCATTAATGACTTACTTTCACTAGGCTTTGTAACTTTGTGGTGATTACTTTATATAGCTAGGGTCTTGTTTTCTTTCTTTGTTCTTACTTGGGCAGGTTAAAAATTAAATATGTAAGTTATCTCTTGCTTTAATCAAACTATTTAGTTCTGTCCTATTTAAAATAACAATTATTATCATCAGAGATAACATAAATATTCAGAAATATTAAATAATGTGCCACTAACTCTTTACACAATTTTTCAGTAATAATTTTTAACTCTACATCTCAGGAGCTGCAGACTACCTAACGACTTGCCAGAGCACTTGGCTCGAAGGCACGGGGTACTTTTAGTCAATAAGAGTCTAGTACTCTCTCTCGCCACACCCAAGGCAGGAGAAGTCAATGAATGATTTTGTTTACTCAAAATATATCAATTACGCTATATATTTTTTTTTATAGTATAAGCCGGTAAACGAGCTGATGGATCACCTGATGGTAAGCAATCGGCGTCGCCCATGGACACTCGAAACACCAAGGCGTTACAAGTGCGTTACCGGCCTTTTGGGATGACCTTTGAGGATTCGGGAGTCGGCGACTAGGGTAATTGGGTCTCCGGTAACCTCACTCACACAACGAAACACAACGCAAGCATTGTTTCACGTCGGTTTTCTGTGCGGCCGTGGTATCACTTCGGTCACAATATAATTACAAAGAAGCAAAACAAGAAAATACTTTTCGTATCGAACCCGACAGTAATTCGACCAACGACCCATTTAAATAAAATGAAATTAGTAATAGAATTAATTAATTTCGAATGTTTCGCTGTACCTAGGTAGGTACTTTATACTCGACGAACTAACTTTTCTTACAATAAATTACTAGAATATACATAAAATGAAATGAAATAGTGAAATCAGATAGGCCATCTTTTTGTTTCTAATTAAATAGCTGTCTCATTTATAATTTTGTTTCACTTGACATTAGTAGATTGAAATAAGATACATTCAGCCTCTGGACAGAGTAATCTTCTTACACTGTCACTTAAAGTACTTTTATGTCCATTACTAATTAATTCGAACGTAAAATTACGACGTCACAACTTTTTTGTGTACTGTTCAACTGGAAAATTAAAAATTACATTATGTAGATTACTTACAATATGAGGTATAGGAAGGTATGTACGTAAAGGGTAAAATTTCGTACTGAAAACCATTGAAGGATAATATACTCCGCTAACGTAAGTCACTGCTGACTCCGTAGCGTTTAACATGTTAAATTGATTTAAAAACTATAAAAAGCTTTATATAAATTGCCAAATAGGTCATCGAACGAAGGTTGTGATGCCAAAAAGTGAATTTTTGGTGTTAATGAAATCACAAAATTATTTTGATTTTGCTCAAGTCAAATTAATCTCATTAACCACTCGGACGATAGATACCGTCTAACAAACAAACAAACACATCAACACAATAACTCAGTTACACAATCTTACTAAACCACCAACCATAAACGAATCAGTCAAAATATACCAAAGGTTAATAGTCAGCCAATAAACGAGTATTCCCAGTAATCAGCCACTCGTCAAATAATACGGACAGTCATAAACAGTCCGTACGTATCGTAGTTGGTAATCTGGCCGTAATCACAGCCATTTCCTAGATTACCAGACGTTCTATGAAATGATCAGTTGTTCAACGAAGCTACAGCATGTTCGTGTTTTTTTTTAACTAAATGTCATTGAACTCTGTAAAGGTTATATGTCATATATTATTTAGGTTCTTTCGTAGACAGCCTTGATTTGTTTTTATTAGTTGACGTGAAGTTTTTAACAACTTATATTTGTGTAATTATGTTATTAGTGTCTTTGTTACTTTGTTAATTTTAATGAAAATGTAATTTAGAAGAAAATAAATATTTCTATTTTGTTTTCAATGCGAACGAGATATTTTCGAGGGTAGATGTCAGTCGTGTCAAATACTGATAAGTCATTCATTTATTTTTAAAGAAATGATTTTGACTTTGACTTGACAACAAAAAAATTTTGAAGTGAAGCTAGTTGCTCATTCCAAGGTGTATGGAGAAGAACGAGCTAGAAACTCCATAGGATACTCTTTTTCAATCGGGTTTACAATACAATTCTCGATATGCAGTCGAATCTGGTTAATACTCAGTGTCTCTATTGTACGTTGAATTTAGTAACATTTCCATTTCTTGAAGTCTAGTCATAGTTGGTTTTAACCTTTGATTTTGCCATCAGAAAACTGTTGAAGGCAAATTTTCCGCTAACTCCGGTCACCGTTCACCTACGTGGCAATTAACATGTTAAGAATGAAAAGTTATCACTGTACTACTATAATAAGTACTGTACGGTTTCATAATCGAACATAGGACGTATAGTCGACGCAGCAATATTGAATGCGCGTCACCCAATGCATAGCATATATAATTTAACGTATTCCAGTAATTGTAGTAGTAGTACTTTATCTACCAACCAACGTCAAGCAAAGAAATACGACAACCTTATTTGTAACTTTTACCAAACTTAATATACGCAACTAGCAACTATAACTTGTGTTCTTTTTTGTGAGCTACTACACCTTCTATAACTACAAAACTACAGTGTAAGGATCTAACTGGACCATACACGTACCTACTAATAGATTAAATATTAATAGACCACAACATATACGAACCACATCTCTACACTTAGCACTCGACTTTAAAAGCATTCACAAGCACCTTCTTCATTCCCCGTACCCCTTTACTGCTCACAATAAAAACCAAGTACGTGAAAATGCATTAGCGGATTGTCTGTAACTTGCAACGTGCTACATGCTACGTTACATGTTAACGTAATCCTGTACGTGGCGCGTGTTACAGTGTCAAGTAGCAGCTCGTTCGTAATGGTTATTACACGATCAATGGTGCAATTAACCGGCTATTGTTGCAACGTGCTTAGAAGGTGTTAAATGTTATATGCTGCTCCGTTATGTACAGAAGTCAATGGGTTACTGGAGTGACTTTAAAGTAAAGATACTAAATTTATAGTTGGATTTATTTGTGTTCAAATTTTATTTTTTTAACTGACTTCATTTACTGACTTCAAAAAAGGTTTCATTTTGATCTGTTTGTATGTGTGTATGTTTGTGTATGATTATCTCGTAATTGACTGAATCAATTTTGATGCAGTTTTCTGAAATGTGTTTGTTACACTTAAGAGAAGGTTATAGTACATTAATTAAATGACTTCAAAAAGAGGGGGGGGGGGAGTTATGTTATATATTTATAAGAAGTATTATAAAAATTGTACATGCATTGGTACATTTCAACTATAAATAAAGGTTTGATTAATAGTTACTTTAAGATAAAATGTGACAGTTTTAGACCATTTTTGAGATAACCGTAAAGTCTTATTGAGTTACTCAATTTATTTGCAATACGAAATAAATCTCAGAAAATATAATTTTCATTTTCTTTACACGCAAAATACATTACAGCGAATGTATGAAAACAATATAATTTCCCAATAATCGTATCACGGCACGCAATAGACATGAGCTAAATAAAATTCAGTATTAAATAAAAAGCCAATCATATGAACTGTCAATAAAGATATTATAACAAGACATAGGTGAACAAAATTACTGTTGGCCAAAGAAAAATTGCCCGTCTAGTGTCTTGAGCGAGAATAAATTCAATTTTCTAATGTCAAAATAAAACGCGATTTATTATTTCGTAATATCGTCATTTACCACGGCTTGATTTATATCAGTCGACGAAATTTATTTTTTATATTTTTATCAGAAATATTTATTTATTTTTAACTTTTTGACAGTTTGATTGGATTAGTAGCTAAGACAAGCAGAATAACTAATAAATATTAGACATGAGACAAGTCTACGAAAATTAAATTCTAGAAGACACTATATTTCCAAAATATTTTATACTGAGTTCCTATTAATTTTAAAGTTACGCGAAATTTGTGAGGATATACGAAGATCAAAGATATCGAAGTCGTGGACAATGATGGCACTGGACTGCGTGGATATGGCGTATCGTGTGTCCCCAATGGTGCTAAGAATATGAGCCCCTAGCGTGGCTTGAAATTGTTCGATTTCTTTAGTTAAATAGTTATGTGACTAAAACACAATATAGTTAAGTATGGCTTATAATACTTGGAAAGTCATTAAAAGTTCCATAGCATTAGCACATTACAAGTATATATAAAAAGTCATAAATACCTTCAACACTAGGTTTCTCGCAGACGAAGTAGTTATGTTCCCTGCATCCTCTGTCGTTCCACATGAAGGTGGTGGCAGCTGGTGGTGGTCGTGGAGGGAACTCGCGACGGGCCTCCACGCAGTCCTGGCCTGATGTGCCATCATCATTGGGCTGGCCACTGTGCTTTCTCCAGCCGGGAAACCAGTCTGAGTACAAGAAGATCAGTTAGACTAAAAGATGATTAATTTAATTTATAACTCCATAAGAATTCAAACGGAGCCACAGTGTCATAGAAAACTGGTGTGATACCACCTTTCTCTGATACCCATAAAGAAGGCCATACACGATAGGTTATGCATGATGGTTATAACTTTGCATGCAAAACCGACAAGCATAACCGAGCACCGATGCACCGATAACTGTACAGTTTAATCACATACACGCTACAATCAATTTGGTTTCACTGTAGGAAAGTCTACTGTCGACGCGGCTCTTTCTGTCCGATCCATGGTAAATTCGTCTGAACACAAGTATATAGTAGGCATTTTTCTGGACATTTCCGGTGCCTTTGATAACGCATGGTGGCCAATGTTACTCTTAAAACTGAAAGGTCGTGGCTGTTTTAGTAACATATATAAATTAATATACACGTATTTCCTTCACGGTTCCGTTAAACTGAAGCTTGGTCATTGTTCTCGGTCGAAGTCTTTATCAATGGGATGTCCTCAGGGCTCGGTTATCGGTCCGTATTTATGGAATTTAGGATTTGATGATTTGCTCGCGATTCCCCTTCCTTGTGGCTGTACTTTGACTGGATATGCGGATGATGGCCTTTTGCTAGTACAGTCAAATACCCGCGCCGGACTGGAGAATTTGGCTAAAGACTGTCTCAGTAGGATCTCGCGATGGGGCGAACGAAATCGCTTAACTTTTGCACCCCATAAAACTTACCAGCTATTGCTTAAAGGAAATCTAAAGTCGTGGCCGTCTATTAAATTTAACAACGTTTCCGTAAAACGAAAGGAGTCGGTTTGCTATCTCGGTCTAGTTTTGGAAAAAAACTTTTCTTTCATTGAGCATATTAAGGCTATTAGTGAGAAAGCCAAAAAAAACTTCTATGCGCTGACGCGAATTTCAAAAGCCACCTGGGGTCTCTCTTTTCTTACGCTCAGGATCATATACGGAGCAACCTACCTGGGATGCGTGTGCTACGGGGCACCTGTCTGGGCTGATAGGGCCACAATAGGCGCGGTACGGCGAAAACTTCTTCAAGGCCAGCGTCTAGCCTTGATTTTCCTGTGTAAGGCTTATAGGACGGTTAGCACTGAAGCCCTACCTGTGCTCGCGGGCGTACTTCCGGTAGATCTTGAGGTGCAGCGACGTGCTGCTATGTACTACAGTGCGAGACCTAATTTGTCAGCAAGCTTTCTGGCAGAACGTGATAGAAATAAAATTGCAAGATTGTTTAAGCCAATAACGGACGTTTGGGATGAGCTTATAACTGAATGGCAGGGTAGATGGGCATCTTCTATTAAGGGCCGCCACCTGTATCAGTTCTTTCCATCCGTGCATGAGCGGCTGGAGAGGACATGGTTGGAGGTGGATCACTGTGTTGCCCAATTTCTTACTGGCCACGGCAACTTTAAAGGCAAATTGTTCTCATTTAAACTTATTGATTCACCATGGTGCCAATGTTCGACAGAGGAGTTGCGATACGAGCAGTCGGCCCATCACATACTCTGGGAGTGTGATCTCTGGCAATATGAACGTAACACTATGTTAAATAATTTAATTGTTTCGTCAGGTGTAGCTTATTATACGGACCTTGTGGAATCTAGAACGAATTTCCGTGCGTTTAGGCGTTTTTGCCATACCTATTATTGGAAGCAAGTATAACAGCTCACACATAGGACCCACTTAGTTTTTAGTCAAATTTCCGTGGTGCTTGGCGACTGGGCTTCACCCAGTTGTACAGTCTCTTCTTTGTGCCTTTAGGCTTAATTCATTCTGTCTCCTGCAGTAATTCACCGAGGGAAGTGAAAACCATAGTTTTTCTTCTTCTCCTCTTATAATATCTTCTGATTCACTTCGTTGCGGGAACCAAGACAGTTACTCATGTCCCTGGGACGCGCCGGACTTCAGTGTTCCGGTGTTTTCATGGTTGTATCTACTGTAGATCCTGGCTTACAGGAGTTGCAGCGGTTTTGGGAGGTTGTGGCGGGGTTGTCCCATTAAAAAAAAAAAAAAATACACGCTAGGGCTTGCCTGTCGGTTATGCATGCACGGCTAAAACCATCATGCAAAACCTAGCGTGTATCGTCTCCTTAAGGCCGGCAACGCTCTTGTAATGTCTATAGTGTTGTAATCGCAGAACTATCAATGAGACTGTCCGTCTGCACGTGTCACCCTATTCAATGACTAAATTAATAGAGATTTTCTCATATTATTTTTCACTTGCTACTTCCGCGCGGTATCACACGCTCTGCTCAGCTCCTATTGGTCGTAGCGTGATGTTTTATAGCCTATAGCCATCCTCGATAAAGGCGCTATCCAACACAAAAATAATTAATCAAATCAGACTTGTAGTTACGGAGATTAGCGCGTACAAACAAAAAAACAAACTCTTCCGGTTTATTAGTATAAGATATAAGATGAGTATATTGTATACGTATGTATACATATTATGTCAATTTTAGTAGTTACATCTTGCGATAGTTATAAAAGGTTATCCTTACTGATATTATATTATAAATTGGAAATTTAGTTTGTTTGTTTGGTTGTTTGTTCCGCTTTAACGCCGTAACTACTAAACCGATTGCTTTGAATTTTTGCAGACATAAAGTTAGAAGTCTGGAATAAATAATAGGGTACATTTTATACCGGAAAAATTGATATTCCCGAGGGAAAGCAAAATTATTGGTATAGATGGCGCTGTGTGTATTAGTGTATGTCACATAGGCTACTTTTTATCCTTTCGTGACGCGAGTGAAGCCGCAGGTAGAAGCTAGTTTTTGAATAAAGATAAAGTTCGTTTTTATGCGATGAAATACTAAAGGGAATAAAATAATAAAATGTGTGTTCAATTAAAATCACTTTCGCTATTATAGCAATTTCATTCGATTTGATTCGCTACAAATAGAAAATAAAAGAATACTGATACAATTGATCATTAAAAATAAATAATGATAATAAAGAAACATCAGATCACAAACAAAACACTGCATAGAAATTTGAACTCTATTTTTCAAATAACGAACGTGCATTTAACAAACGCTAGTAAAGGCTACATCATATTGAAACAATCCTTCAATACATTTGCAACTTTGTAGTTAAGCAATAAGATTCAAAATTAAACAAATATGAGATATAGCTTGATGTCTTTCAGAGATCTTTCGTTTCCATTGTATTTAGTAGGGAAGCAGCAGTGACTAGGTACTCCTAGGTAGTCTAGGTACAGACAGTAATTTAGTTGATACCTAGTACATTGCACATCGAATTTTGGCACTAAACAATTTTATGTATTATTTTTATATATAGAATAGAATTAGGCATTGCTTTGCGGAAATCCATGCCACACTAATAACTGTGGATTTACTCTTGAATCCAATTCCGATCGATCGAAATTGGTATTGTGAAATTTCGTACTCTTGAGTTGCAACACTAGCGCCCATTGCAGCCGTATTGCGTGGATATTGAATGATCTAAATGGTATTGAATTTGACTTTTGCTATTTTGCTATTTTAACAGCTACGATAGGGGTTGTATCGTTTTGACATTGAATAATTATTGAGATTTTATTGGATTGAAATTGCATTGACATTGAGATTGGTTTCAAGAGTAAGCACCCTGTAGCATGTTTGTATTGTATTCGAATGGAGGGAGCCGCCGAGTCCGAGAGCTCCGTGGGGGAGCGAAACAAATGTCTAGAGTGGTTCGAGTACTTTATCGTGTCGTGTCGTATATCTGCTGCCTCGTTGAACGAGTGGTCGCAAGTGCGACTGCCGAGGAAGGGGTCTCGGCTTCGATTCCCGGGTCGGGCAAAGAATGACTTGGTTTTAAAAAAATCTTAGTAGCAGGGAGTCTGGGGGTGCAATAAGCTCACCCCCTATTACATGGGACTCGTAACATAAATAGTGAAAAGTGAGTGTTACACTGTACAGTGGTATTAAGTGTCATAATGTGCACCTCTGCCAATCCCGGAATAAAAGGCTGTTATGTTATGTCCCTTCTGTATAAGTATTTACTTGCGGGCTCCGGGCGGTGTTGCATACCGCATCCTGCAAATTCATTTCTACAGCGGAATGCAAAGTTAATATTTTCCCAGTCGTGTACAGTAATGTCGTGGTGGCCCTGAGGTTTAAGACGCCCGCTTCTGATGCATGAGGGTACAGGTTCGAAACCTATCAACGGCAAGTACCAATGTAACTTTTTCCGAGTTATATGCACTTTCTAAGATTATTCAGACACCACTGACAAGCGGCGAAGGAAAACATCGCGAGGAAACCTGGACTTATAATTTCTAATTATAAGTTTGTAATCGCCAACCCGCATTGAACAAGCGTGGTGATTATTGCTCAAACCTTCTCCGTGTGAGAAGAGGCTTTGCTCAGCCGTGGGCGGGCATTTATAGGCTGTTGATAATGATGATGATTTTCCCAGTTGTTAACACCACATTTAACAATATTTTTAATAAAACTTTCCCTTTTATCCATTTTTAATAAAATGTAGTCAAATATGACATAAAATCTTAAACCAAATACATAATAGGTAGCTTGTAACAAATTGTGATTGTATAGGAAAAATGACGATCGTTGTGAATAAAATACATGAATCAATGAATATTTAATATAATTAAGGTGCATTATTAACGCTCGTTAATTTTGCATCAGAGGCTGTCAGCATTTTGATGTCATTTCGTGGTTTAATATTTTATCATATTACGAAACATTTATTTCAACTAAAATCATATATATACACCGTGAAATCTGTGTCGTTTTTGTCCCGAAGAAAAATAGTTCTGTCTTTTTTTTTTAAGGGGGGAAAATCATCCAATGACTGCTCCCGCCTGGGTGAGGCGTAAGGGAGTGTCAGACTCTTACTGACTAAAAACCACCCCGTTCCTTCTCCTGCACGTCGAGCCGGAGCCCCGGTTACCCGTTAGGTTCTCCGCGACAAATAGTTCTGTCTTTATAATACAATATGTTAC